CTGACGATAATACCTCAAAGTATAACAAACAAGTTGGGCCAATTCAGTATGATCGTTTTTCCAATGTCATATTCTCAAAATTGTTTTGGGACTACCGTTACATTAAACGATATCCTTAGATCCGAAAAAACATGATCATAAACAACACTTGAGCTAGTCCAGGTTTTATCGTTTATTATTCCACACGTGCATATGATGTTATTTTGTGAAATCCACCTGTGGCACCTATTTAAGTGGGAACAGGAAAATGTTTCTCGTTTTTTGAAACCCCCGAGGTTTTGGTTAATCAACCCGCAGTCCTATTGTAAGTAGAAAATGTTTCACTTTTTTGCATAAAACACCCTGAGATTTCAGTTAATTAACCCGCCGTCCGTATAGAAAATAACACTTTTCTTTATAGATTCAAATATTTTTCATATCTTTTAAACCGTAACTCCAATTTTAACATGTTATATATGAAAATTGATTAGAAGAATATGCAGAATGTGAATATGATGTTACTTTTACCCGTTAACCATTTTAAAATGTTGTTTAGAGACATATTTAAACCCTAACTTTTAACATGTTATATATGAAAATTGATTAGAAAATATGTAGAATATAAATATGATGTTGTTTCCCATGTTAATAATTTTTAAAATGTTGTTTAGGATGCAACGCTAATAAAAAAAATGCATAACCCATCTTTATCTTGTATCGGTGCCGATTCAAATTGAAAATGAGCACCTCAGCGACAACAAATTGGAATCAAAAGAAACCATCTATAACCATGCATGTCTGTCGGCGAGAGTGGAAAGAAGGACAAACGACAAGACTAATAAGATGCCATTTTGAAAATGAAGGATGTGGACCTATTTGGGTCTTAATTCATGGTTACTCCCTTCGGTCCTTTTTACTCTGCATATTAGATTTGTCCGAAGTCAATCCCATTCAACCTTGACCAAGTTTATATAAAAAATTATAAACATTCACATAACAACACCAATATCTTTAGATTCATCTTGTAATATATTTTCATATTATATTTATTAGATATTATAGATGTTAATAATTTTTAATATAAATTTGGTCAAACTTAGCAAAGTTTGACTTCCGGCAAAACCAATATGCAGAGTAAAAAGGACCGAAGGGAGTATTGTCTTAGTGCGTGTGGTATTTCTTTTTCTTTCGATGGCAACGCACAGACTTTTTTCTAGTGTTTATACATAGGACAATGCTGTGATAGGGACAATGCATGTTGGGCATGTGGCTATGCACAGGTAAATCAATAATACTATCACCCTCTTAGAGCAACTCCAAAGGGCTGACCCATTTCGTCCGCCTGCGTCCGTTTGGGTCGGCGCGAACAAAAATGGCGGCCCAATGCACCGACCCAAACCCAAATCACGTTCGCGTCGCATCCGCGTCGATGCATTTGCGGCTCAAATTTGCGCCCCAAATGCATCGGCGCGGACGCCGAATGGATGCTTCGCGTGCCTTCTCGCTATCTGCCACGTCCTCACATGGCAGCCGTCCAACTACCCGCTGCCCATACGGTCAGCTTAATTTATGACGACGGGCTCATGCGTCAGCGACGACGCTCGTCCTTTTTAAGCCGACCGTGCGGCGGGGCCGTCCTCATCCATACTCGCCGTCCACATCTGCCCACCTTTACTCCCTCATCGCCGGCAAACCCTAGCCACCACAACCACAGCGAGATGGGCCTCTTCTCCGGCGTGAGTGGCAGCAAGGCCAAGGGCAAGTCCCCCCGCGAGTGGGTGTCCGCGCCACCGGTTTGGTTGGGGGCGACACCGGCGCAGGAGCAGGCGTACCTCGAGATGTGGCGCTAGCGCCGGCTGGCAGAGGAGCGCCGTCGCG